AAAACTCCCATTGATTGTCATACAATTTCTGTAGGTCAGAAGCCTGGGTACCGGATCATCTTTAGGAGGTGCAGTCAAGGTGTTGGCTGGACTACAGGTTTTTACCTGGTGCTCAGAGTCCTTTTTCTAGGTCATTCAAGTTGTTGGCACAATTCAGTCCTTGGAGTTGTATGACTAAGGTCCTCATTTTTTTGTGTGGGGTGTGTGTGTGAGAGAGAGTGTGGCTGCACCCACACAGGCCAGCATGGAGCTGGGTGGGGTTTAGACAAAGCTCAAATGAAAGAAGAATATGAGGGCAGTAAGAAGCCCAGGGAATCTGTGACAAGAACAAGAAGGAGGGGACTTGAGACGGGCAGAGGACCAGACCCTACGCCAAGCGCGTGTTCAGACGGTGCGGAGATTTCTTAGAGCGTATCATCAGGCTCAACTTCTATTTCCAAATTTTCTTGACGCAGTACGGTTACTTCTTTGACGTCGAACTAATCTACCAGTGATAGTTTTGTTAACCATAAACCATCAGTAGTTGAAAATTCCATTTCAGAAAGAAATAGGCCAGTTTTGATTTAAGTTTTGTTTTCATATTTCTTGAATAGTCGATTTCTGGATTAAAAAAAAAAAAGGAAATAAGTAATCCCAGTAGAATGATCTTTGGTGACTTGGGCAATCAAAGAGCAATTATAATTTTTTTTAAAAAAACGTTTTAATTACAGAAATGAAACAGTGTTTACCAACATGTGAGACAAACACTGAAAAAAGATGGACCATTTATGATTAGACCTTTCCCATTATAAGATGTTGATTGCAGCTATAGAGCAATATTGAAACCTAGGGAAAACAACAACAGAAAAATCAATATTGTACTGAAGGGTAATTCTCTTAATCATTAGGTTATAGCTTTTAATAACCTAAGTGGCACTTTGCACTTGAATTACTCAAAATATTTAGTACACTCTTAAAGAATTACCAATGGAGAAGAGCACATCTATGGTTATTAAAAAAAAAGACAAAACATTTAAGTATCATTTTTGGTTATATTCTCTAAGAAAGAAGACTTATTTAACATTTAAATATATGAAGCTAATTAAAAGTTATTATTTAATTTATTAGTAACTAATTTAATTCCAAGAGTCAAGAAGCATCAAATCCAGGGAGAATCAGATTAGAAACATACTTGTAGATAAAGAAAATTCATCCAATTTGAGCTATACCATACATTGGATAATTCTTACATTGATTACCGAAAGTATGATATATTTTATTTTATTGATTCAATTAAGTTTATTATAATAGTATATTTTTACACATTTTGGTCACCTTTTTATGAAGTCATTGACTATAAAGAATTGCTCAACTTTTGAAAAACTTGATTATGGTTAGTAAAATTTAATTTAAGTGTACTTTTATTATATGTGAAAATTTCGAACCAATCATGATAAAACTGTATATTTAATATTAACTGTCCTAATATGAAAAAATAGAGACCTTAGTGGAATATGCCCATTCAAAGCAAATCTCCTGCTTAATTTTCTGAGCCAATCTTGTTTTGTTTGAAAGATGAATTTGCAGTAAATGCAATGGATGAATGACATAAGTATATCTACTTTGACTTCTGAAGTCGTAAATGAGAGCATAAGAGCTTTGCACAATAAAATAGGATCACTCAATACTTGATTCATAAGTAACACATATCTTTTAAAACACACATGCATGTGAAAAGAGATGAAAACCGATTGTTCACTTTTAGTTTATATGGGATTGTTTATGACAGTTTGCTACAATGAGAGAATATACTTGTTCTATATTAACTTATACAAAAGAATATCAAGTCTAAGCTATAAATCTTTAAGAAACATACATACAATAACATTTAAGTCCCAAGAAGAATTGAGTTGATTAATCTGTGGAAGGCAGATTCTGAGATCAGCCAAAAGATTCTTGCCTCTTGGTATAGAAGCCTTATATATAAATCCCTCCCCTTGAGGCAGTCAGAATCTGTGAATAGCTCGGAATGCATTTTGTGATTAACTTACATTCATGGAAAAAAGTGTTTTGCAAGTGTAAATAAGTCCTTAATCAATTGACTTTGAGTTAATCAAAAGAGGAGAGTTATCAGAGGTGGGCCTGGCCTAATCAGTGAGCTCTCTAAAATAGGTGAGGCGTCATTCAGAAAGAGCTGCTGGCCTACAGGAAGAGAGCAAACTGCTATGCTGTGAATTGCCTGCCTGTTGGAAGGCAGCCTCTAATAGCTGAGAGCAGCCTGGCAACAGTTAGCAAAAAAAAAAAAAAAATGAGGACCTTAGTCATACAACTCCAAGGAACTGAATTGTGCCAACAACTTGAATGACCTAGAAAAGGGACTCTGAGCACCAGGTAAAAACCTGTAGTCCAGCCAACACCTTGACTGCACCTCCTAAAGATGATCCGGTACCAGGCTTCTGACCTACAGAAATGTATGACATCAATGGAG